ACGGATGGCGTCGCCGCCAGCGGCCACCACAGCTGCGCCGCTGCCGTCGCCGCCGCCGTCAGCGGCGCTGCTCCTCCTGGCAGTGCTGCGGTGGCGTCGCTGCGCGGCGTCATGGTACGAGATGACGGGTGCAGCGGGCTGCCGCCGCCGCCGCTGCCGCCGCCGCTGCCGCCGGCTCCGCCCAGGGGGCTGAGGGTGCTGATGGCCCCGGCGGGGTCGCCGAAGGAGCCCAGTACGAACCCGCCAGCGGCATCCCAGAGGTGGGTTCCGGCGGGCAACGGTGCCGACGCCGGCGACGCGCTAAGCCGCGGCGTACGGCACCTGATGGGGGAAGCCCGGCCGCCGGTGCCGCCCACGCAACCACCTCGCGACGCCGGCGGTGTGAAGCCCGTGTACGACCGGGCCATTATGGCAGCGCTGGCGGCTCCACCGGCCGCTGCCGCCCCCGCCACGTCTTCCTCAGCGGTGCATTCAGCTAGCCGCTGCTGTTGTTGCTGCTGTTGTTGGTACATGAGAAGCATCTGCTGCTGCTGCTGCTGCAGCTGGTAGTATGGCTGTAGCAGCAGCTGCTGCTGCTGCTGCTGGTGCCTCTCCACGGGTTGAGGAGCAGCGCAGCAGGGCAAGGAGGTGGGGGTCTTCCGCGGGGACAAGGACGACGAGGTGGGAATCGGGGCGGTTGGCCAGGCGGTTGCAGCCCCGTTGGTTGCGGTTATGGTTGCAACAACTTCCAACGGACTTGCACATTGGCCAGCGCGGCGTGTGCTAACAGAGCCCCCCGGGCCGTCGCCAAAGCTTCCGCCGCTCTGTCTTAATCCTCCGGCCCCCCCGTCCGCTGCTGCTGCTGCTGCTGTTGCTGCTGCTGATGATGACAATTTTAATGACGTCAATTGCTGCTGCTGGTGCACGGAATGTCCATGTTGTGTCTGCTGCTGCTGCTGCTGCTGGCGAGTGGCGGCATACAAGCGGCCCGCGAAATTGGAGCGCGGGGGGTTTAGCTGAATGGCCGTACCCTGTACGGCAGTGTACGACATCCGGGGTCAGCGCAAACATCAGGCGATGAGGACCGTCAATCAGTGGCCCCACCACCACCACCGCCGCCATCGAGGTGGGAACCGTCGAGCAAAGAGCAACAACAGAAAACAGTTCACGTGAGGAAAGTACGGCAGTGACGGCGGCAGCTGTACGGCGGCGCAACGGCGACAACAGCCGCGATAGATCGCGGTAGGCAGCATGGGACCAGAGAAAGTACGGCAGTACGACAAATAGATTATTCTTGAGGAAAGACAAGTCGGAGTCATCTTGCAGGCGAAACCCCGAAAGGGCGCCCCCACACACGTACATACATACACATACACACACTACACATGAATCGATCGGGGGAGGTGTGTGTGTGTGTGTGTGTGTATGCACACACACCCCAGCGCCAGGGAAAGGAACTCTTACTCTTACGCTCTCAGTCAACTACGGTTGTGGAGAGGGAGGGGAGTTAGAGCTGCTGCAGCTAGAGAGGAACGGACCGATTAACATTGACCGCCACTGCTCTCGCCACCGCTGGGTAGGCAGTTGGGTACGACACCTGCCGTACTACCTTAAGCTCCAGGTTAAGACCGGTGTATTGCGGCGGGCGTAGCTCTTCGCCGCCGTCGATGATGCACTCCCATTTGCCTGTGTCGAAGCCGCCGCCTGGACGAGCAGCCGCCGCCGCCGGGCCGCTAGTAGCCCTGACGGCGGCGCCGCCAATGGCCTGCCGGGGCTGTTCGGGGCCGCCAGCGGACGGGGCGGACTGTTCGCCGCCGCCGCCGCCGCCGCCGCTGCCGCCACGTGCCCGCCCCCTGGCTGCCGCCGCCGCCAGCTGGTCAGGCAGGTCGACCACGACCTTGAGAATATCCTCCTGCATGTCGTACAGTTAACCGTGCATTAGCAAGCGGTTGAGTTCTTCTCAATTCTCTCAAACTGCCATGGCCGTGCGACAGCCCGGTATGCAACCGTACATCACCGGCTTCATGATGGCCAGAAGGGCCAACACCACCTCATCCTCATCCTCATCCTCATCCTCATCCTCATCCTCATCCTCATCCTCATCCTCATCCTCATCCTCATCCTCATCCTCATCCTCATCAGCAGCAGCAGCAACGAATCAAGCGCCAACCCACCGCACGTTTCCCACAATAACCTCCAAACACGCCGTACAGTCACTTTAAGCCCGCGGGCGCTCATATATGTCTGTCCCCTCGTCTGACGTCATGCAACACACATACCCCCGCGCCCCTCAAAATCCAATATATCCACCTCACACCCTACATACATACGTACATATATACACACACAGACACACACACACCCTACCTGCACGTCTGCACACAGCTGTGCCGTGATGGCGGTTGAGGGCTCCAGAGTGGGTGAGCTGTTCACCTCCAGCAACCAAACCCGCAGTTGATCGTCAATCAAAAAGTCATAGCCGTACAACTGGCAGGAGCCCTTTCGTGGAGCGATATGGTCCTGGGGAACGACAGGGCGGCGGGGGGGCCCGGGGGGGGCGAGGAGGGTTCGGCCTGGCGTAAAACCCTAAAACCCTAAACCCCTAAAACCCTAAACCCCTAAAACCCTAGCTTTACCGGGGGGGGCCGGGGGGAGGCGGTAATCTTAAGGACCCAGACGAGATTGGACCGAGCTGCCAGTCAAGGGCGGCAGGGCGGCAGGGCGGCATGGGGAGGGAGGAACAGGCCGAAGGCTGTAGATACATACAGACGGACAGCCTGACATAGACGCCCGGTACGACAGTGCCCCCACCTTGGACGAGCGTTTCCCTCTGGGCCTCACACACCGCTGATCGCGGGGGTGTGAGTGAGAGACACCACCACCACCACAACAACAACAACAGCAACAATAACAACAAGAGAACAAGCGCTGCACTTAGCCGCAAAAGACACCGCAGGGAGCACCCCCAGGATTAACACCCCCAGGATTAACACCCCCAGGATTAACACCCCGACCTCCCCACACACAAAATCCCTTTTGCATTGGCGGTGATTAGCAAAAAGCGACCCGCCATCAGACACATACACACACATACATACACATACACACACATACACACATACACACACACGCACACGCACACACACACATACACACACACATACACGCACGCACGCACATACACACAACCCCCTATCCTCCCCCCCCCGACCTGACCTGCCCGCTCTTCAGAGTGCATATCGCGATGTGCCGCATGGCGGGTTGTAGCAGGACATCCCAAATGTCGTCCCTGCCGTACACCTCCGCCAACCACTGCTGAAACCGCGGAATGGACCACATGTTGCCGGCAGCCGTGATTTCATCTGCAACCACCCCAGCGCGGCAGTTGACAGTTAACAGTTGACGACAGATAGTACAGTTATTAATTTGTCGGGTTTAATATTTATATCGCGCGCGCGCTTTTGCAAATCGTCCTCAACAACGTCTGAGTGCTAACACATACACATCTCGGTGGCGGTTTACCCTTCACCAAAATGGGAAGACACTTTTTTGTGCGTGTGGGTGTGCCGTACATTTTGGTTGCCGTACATTCGTCTCTTTCCTCTTCCTCCCCCCCCTGCAGCGCCTATCGTCTCCCCCCCCTTTAAAACCCTAAAACCCTAAAACCCGCAGCCCCCACCCCTCTCACCCGCCTTCACCGGCCCCTCGAAGTACTTGGACACGCTGTTGTTGGTGAGGTGCTGGAAGATGTCCAAGGTGCTGGGGTCGTAGTCGTCCGCGGCGAAGCGGAGGTAGCAGGTAGAGTAAAACCAGGCCTGTATGTGTGTATGCGGATTCGTACACGATGCCGACCAAAAGCACATGGGGGGTTGGGGCCTCCTATCAGCCTTTTTTACTACTAGAGCTTTTCGCACAGGGTAAAGCACGTACACGCCACGTACACGCCACGTACATACATGGGGGATATCTAAGCGTGCGCGCGCTAGATAGAGTGTGTGTGTGCGTGTGTGTGTGCGTGAGAGAGAGGGAGGCAGGACGGTGTTGAGGCCAACGATTCAACGGGGAGGTGCAAATTTGGGGACAGTGGTGGCGGGTGGGCAGGGTGGGCGGGTGGACGAGGCGGTGTCTCGAGGCGGTTCGGAACCGCCATCAGCCGCCCCTGCCGCTTGGAAGGAACGCTCTCCCCCAAACCCACCTCCTTAAAACCCTCCACCCGCCCTGCCGCTCGCTCGTCCTGTGCCGTACTACCACACGGCCGTACCTGGAGCGGGTTCCAGTCCGTGACGAGGACCCACTGGCGAATGTCGAACTTTCGACGCGAGATTACGAGCGGCCGTTCGACGTACTTCTGCGCGATCCAGCGTGACTCGAGGCCCTGCGCCTCCTCACCGCGAACGTACGACAGCAGCGCGTCGGGGTCGTTGAACAGTCGAATGCCGCGGCCGCGGCTCTTTCCCGCTGGTTTCACTATCCAAATGTTGTTGGTTCCGGAGATATGGGTTTGTACGGCACTGCTCTC